ACCGTTCATGCTCTGTCTCTCTCTGTCCCAAAAATAAATAAACGTTGAAAAAAAAAAAAACAAAAAAACTTTATAAAAAAAAAAAAAAGGCTCACGGTAGCCTTTGATGATTTGCAGACCAAAAAATTAAAGTTATCCGTTTCTAATAAGTTTCTTTTAATGTATATTTATTCTTGATAGCGAGTGAGGGAGTGAGCCCGGGGGCGGTCAGAGGGAGACACAGAATCGGAAGCAGGTTCCAGGCTCCGAGCTGTCAGCACAGAGCCTGACTCGGGGCTCGAACCCACGAACTGTGAGATCATGACCTGAGCCGAAGTCAGATGCTTAACCCCCTGAGCCACCCAGGCGCCCCTAAAGTTAGGTATTTCTAAAACGGTTGGTTTCCTTTGGGCAGAACCACTGGGGGTTGCCAAGACTGGAGCGCTTTTGGCCGACCGACGGGTAGGGCAATCCCGCAAGGGCACAGCCGCAGAGCGGATGCCTCTGGAAATCTCTCGGCAGTGTTTCGGATGGACCCGCGGGACCACGCACCTGCTTTTTGTTGTAATCTTTGATGGCGTTTTCATAGCCTTCCTCCAGCCTCGCGAACGCCAGGCCCACCTCGGTGGCCCACCAGATCTGCGTGCACGTGAGCGCAATCTGAAAACAGACGGGGGCCCCCCCCGTCGCCCGCGCTGTGAGCGTCACTTCTGATAAAACAGTCCCTGCCGGCCAGATAGGCCGTTACCGGTTGGACTGACCGAGGGGCAGGTGAACACAGCCACCCCCACGCCACCCGAGCCTCAGACCTGGGCTGGGTAATCAAAGATCCACTGCTCCCTCGGCTTTTCCTCGTACGTCACCACGGCTTCTGGAATTTCGTGTCGGAGCGTGGCGCGCATTCGGTCAAGCACTCGGTTCAGCCAGACTTCCACCTGGGGACGGGAGCCACACTAACCCGACGGGCCCTGAGCTCAGCTAGCTCCAAAGACTCGCTTTGTCATTAAAAAAAAAAAACACTAAACCAGCTACCCGTGGTCATCACCCCAGGGGTAGGAAAGTCAAGGTTTTTGCAGAGCAGGAAGAATGACCCGCTTAACAAAATACACTTGGGAAGCCCAGTGGTGCTCCCCGCACCCCCCCCACCGCCCCCCCGGAGACTTGTCACACTGGGCTGGGTGTTCAAGCGTGCATGTGATCTCCAGGCAGACGGGGGAGGGGATTCAGAGAAAATTCTAGAAGACTGGCTATGTCTGGGCCCCTGGGGTGCTACTGATGTTGGGAGACATGGCGTCTGTCCTCTCGGGTCCCCGGCATGTTTTGGCTGCTCCTCAGGTGCCTCGTGTCAGGACCCAAGGTGGTCCCATGGGACAAACTTGCAGCCGGGCCTTCTTTGTATTTGGAAATACAAGCCCTCAAGTAGCCATTGCTGGCGGGGGCGGGGGTGGGGGTGGGGGTGGGGTAGGTGGGTGGCGGCGGGGGAGGGGGCAGGGTGGAAACAGGACAATCAGGTTGGGTTTTCTTTTAGACTAAAGACGGTGCAGGCCAGCTGTGTCTGTAAGGAGCTAACCGGGGGAAGCGGGTCTGAACACGCCTCCGTGACTGGCTCTTGCCCCAGCCCTGCCAACCTTGTCCTGATTTTCCTTGAGCCAAAGTCGGATGCTTAACCGACGGGAGCCCCCCAGGCGCCCCTGAGATCTTCCTCTTTCCTCCCCCAGCGAATTTCTCTGAGCTGCATTTCATTTAGGATGATGTCGAAATCCCATTTGGTTGCTGAGTTGGGCAATGAGACGGGGGTGGGGGGTGGGGGGTGGTGGACAAGGGGCTGCTGGAAGTTTCTGTCGGCAGGAGGTGGCCTCTCAGGGAGGCTAGAGAAGGCAACGGGCCGCCCGAGGTGAGGAGAGCTCTCTGGTCAAAGCCCTAGATCTGACTGTTCGGGGCCCCTCCAGGCGGTCCCCCCACGAGCCCTCAAACAGCTGGACTGTGTCAGAAACCTCCCCTCCCCACCCCTCCTCCTCTGGCTGTTGGCTCGCAAGATACGCTTCAGGCAGGCGTTTCTGGAAATGCTGTTAAGGAAGCTGGTGAAGCTTTTATTCGAGAGAAGGACCGTCACGGGCCGGCGGCCGTGCCGACACCCCCCGCCAGAGGTCCCCGCTGTCCCTCCAGCGTGGATGTGCCCGTGGCGCTCACCTGCCCCGAGAGGTCACACTCTTGGTCAAAGGGAACGTACTCGTCTTCCTTGCTGTGCATGCCCAGGCCGACTTTGAGAGGCTTCCTGTCGTCATCGAGGCGGAACTCCAGCTTGCACAGGCTGTCGAAGAGCTTGGCCAGGTGACGGCCCACCTGGGGCGGGACAGGGCAGACACTGGGTCAGGTGAACCAGGGACTGGGGGGGGGGGGCACGCGGCCTACTTCTCTCCCCCTCCTCTGATCGGTGATGACCAAACACGCGTGACCGACCAAGGGCACAGCGGAGGGCTCTGAGGCGGGAGCCGGCACTGAGAGACAAAGGTCTGTTCCGGAAGATTCCGTTTCCTTGACAAGGCCGTGTCCCTGGGCCACCCCGCGCCGTCCCGTGACTTTACGATTCAAGGAAAGTATAGTGAGATATAGTCATTTCCCCCACCTGCTTAGTCAGTTACCCCTTTTCTCTTTCAGCAGAGCCTCAAGGAGACCTCTCCTCCTGGCTCTCGGGGCCTGGGGTCTGTTAGGACCAGCCAGCGGGCGGGTCTCTGAGAAGCAGCGGCTCACCAAGCCCCGGGCCTCCAACCCTATCTTCCAGATGAGGAAAACGAGGCACGGGAGGTATGGGACAGGATCTGAGACGCGTCCAGTGAAGCGGTCATGGCCGGGCCCCCGGCAGTTTCTGGCGCGGACGGCCTTGTGGAGGTGACGTGCACCCACACGCCTCCACCCCAGCCAGGGCTGCCGAGGGGACGAGCACGGGGCCGCCCGGGGCCCGCCTACCTCCACGGGGTTGTTTCCGTTGGAGAGAATGTCCAGGAGGTCAGCCGAGGAGACAAAGTAGAACCTCGGGAAAGCCAGTCTTTTGGTCTCTAAATATTCCGCCAAGGCCTTTTCGCACACGGCCAGGCTAGGAGGGGGCAGGAAAGGGGGCTGTTGAGGCCCAGTCCTGGGAAGGCCTCCTCCAGCCCAGCCCAGCCCAGCCCCGTCCGCACTGGGCTGACAGCCCCGGAGACGCCCGGCTCGCAGCCCCTTTCATTCAGACCTTCCGACCTGACACACTGCGGGCGTTCCTCTGAGGCCGGACACACGCTGCGTGGCCGGCGTGGCACCCTGTGGCCGGGAGCACGGGCCCCCAGGAAGGGGGGTTTGCTCTGTCCTGGCCCGGGGAGGGGGCGGGGCGCGGGCTGATGGCTCAGGTCCCTGCAGCCAGGACGCCTCTCACCCGGACAGGCGTGGGGACCCACCTCTTCTTCAGATTCTCGAGTTTGTCGTAGAGGCCGGGTTTGTTGGTGGCCTCCACCACGTTGGGCGATTTCACCGCCTCCTCCATCAGGGCCTGGGAAGAGACGGGACCCCCCCGCCCCGCAGGGCGTCAGTAGCCGCGTTTTCTCCGCAGAGCCCTTCCCGCAAAAGCCCGGGAGGAGGGAGAAGGCTGTGCTCGCCTTGAACTGCAGGTCAATGCCGTCGAAGCGCCTGGAGTCCTCCGGCAGCTGGGCGCGGATGTCTTCTGAGCCGATGAAGATGCTCTCCAGGTGGCTCCAGGTTCTCTGGACCTCAAACCAGATGGAGATGACGGAGTCCGCCGTGGACAGCTTCTGCTGCCAGCTCGTCACCTCCTTCAGGAAGTGGGACAGGTACTTGGACATCATCAGGTTCTGCAGCTGGACCTGGTTGTCCTCCAGTGTCTCCACCAGCACCTCGTCCGACTTCAGCATCATGGTGCCCGTGCGCGGGTGCGGCTCGTGCTCAAACTCCATGGTGGACCAGGTGCTGTCCAGGGCTTTCAGAACCTTCCAGGGGACACAGAAACGGGCTCCCTCAGCGGCTGGCAGGAGGGGCCGAGAAGGACCCGGAGTTCTCTGGAACACGGGACGAAGCCCTGCTTTGAGAAGACCGACACGTTCACGCCAGCAACACTGACAGCCGCCAAGAGGGGGAAACAACCCAACTGTCCGTCAACAGACGAACAGACAGGCAAAACGAACAGGTCATCGGCAGGCCGTTGGGCCATAAAAAGGAATGAAGTTTGGACATACGCTCCCACACGGATGGACCTTGAAGACATCACGCCGCGTGAAAGCAGCCAGACGGAAAAGGCCGTACGTTGCGTGACCCCGTTCATACGAGACGGTGGAATGGGCAAATCCATAGGGACGGTGGGTTTTTGGTGGCTTAGACGAGGGACAGGGATGTACGGGAAGGTGGGGGGATTTCTAGAGGGCGTGGCTTTCTTTTTGAGTTAACGGAAATGTCCCAACGTGGAATAATTCTACCACGTGATGCTTGCCCACATCTATGGAGAGACAAAAGCCACTGAGTTGTACGCGTTACATGGGTGAGTGCGACGGCATGTGAATTACGGCTCAGAGAAAGCCAAAACGCGACAACTGACACTCGCCAAGCAGGTGAGGAGACAGGTTTGAACTGCAGAGGGAATCCTCCCCAGTGTCCCTGTGTCCCGGGACTGCCCCAGCCAGCCAGTGGCCAGCCCTCCTGCCTTCCCTCCTTCCACCTCTCCTCCAAAGCCACAAACAAGGGTGCTCCATGAGAGGAGAGAGCTCGGGGCAGTTTTAAATGTGCTACCATTGTTGGGGAGCCTGGGTGGCTCCGTCGGTTAAGCGTCCGACTTCGGCTCAGGTCACGATCTCAACGGTTTGTGGGTTCGAGCCCCGCATCGGGCTCTGTGCTGATGGCTCAGAGCCTGGAGCCTGCTTCCGATTCTGTGTCTCCCTCTCTCTCTGCCCCTCCCCCACTCGCACTCTGTCTCTGTCTCTCTCAAAAATCAATAAAACGTTAAAAAAAAAAAGTGTCACCGTTGCACACAGGAGACAGAAGTATAGCCGGGGTGGAGGAGTGGGGTGGAGGGATAGGATCTTTTCCTCGGTAATAAATTCTGGAAGTATCTGGGGGGCGTCGGTTAAGAGAAAGCCCACCAAGCTTTTGTTTTTGTGTTAAGTGGCCGCTGGACCCCATGCTTGTAGGCGGTGGGCTGGTGGGTCAGGTTCAGCATCATCCCATACGAACAACGTTGCTTTTGACAAAGAAAAAAAAAATACCTTTTCCATCCCCGACTCTTTCACGGCCTTGTCCACGATGTTCCGGACCTCGTCCTCATATTTGTGGAGGTTTAACTGTAGTAAATCTGCCAGGGTGGTCTCATCTGACATTTCGAACTTCACCTGGGGGGTGGGGTGGGGGGAGAGGCACGTTCCGCATCAGGTCCTTTAGCACGGGACAGACATCTCTGTGCCTTGTGGAGAGAGGCAGGTGAGCAAGTAATCCGGGCTGCAGGGGGGGAGCGAGCGGGAGCTCTGTGCCACCGTTGACGGGCTCCGTGACTTGGGTGAGTGGCTCTTGAGATGAGATCATCCTGGATTATCTGTGTGGCACCTAAACCCAGGCGTCCTTATAAGAGAGAGGAGAGGAGGGGAGGGGAGGGGAGGGGAGGAGAGGAGAGGAGAGGAGAGGAGAGGAGAGGAGAGGAGAGGAGAGGGCTTTGAAATGCAGAAGAAAGCCATGTGGTCACAGACGCGGAGATTGGTGGGACTCGGGAGGCAGCCACAAGCCAAGGAACGCCTGGGGCCACCACAAGCTGGAAGAGGCAGCGAAGGACTGTCTCCAGGAGCCTTCGGAGGGAGGGACCCCTGCCCACACCCTGATTTCAGACTTCCGGCCACAGAGCCACGAAAGAACACGTTTCGGTGGTTGGAAGCCCCCGGTGGGTGGTTCTTTGCTGTAGGAGCCCCAGGACGCTAACGCACCTGCTCAGGGATCAATGCTATTGACGTTACTCGCCATTGTTTTCGTAGCAGGCAGAGCTGAGTCTCGGGCACTGTCGCTCTAGTGACAGAATCAGGTGCTGGCCTTGTGCCACGCAGTCCTCAAACCCCTTCCACACGCCCTCTCCTTCGTTCTCGCCATCACACGGGCATTTCCCGACACCGCTTCTGAGCCCCCTCTGGAAACTGGCTTAACCAACCGATAGAACGGAGCGTCTCCCGATCACATTCGGGAAAAGAGCTGCTGGGGTTTCACTAAGTCCCCGGCTGGGGCGTCTTAGGTGCCTGTTGATCGCCGGCCAGGGATCTCTCCCGGGGCGCCTGGGTGGGCACATGAAGCTGCTGGCCAGTGGCCTGCAAAAGCTGTGGTCTCAGCACCCAAGGACTCCGGACAGCCTTTCTGGTCGTCTTGTGTGTCTTTCTCCCAAGGCTCAAGCCACACCCTACCTGCTCCCGAAGCCTTTTCTGTCCTTCCCTGCCCTCGGAGAGGATGCCTCCTCTAAACTCAGAATCGCTGCTGAAAATCCCACTCGGGGATCCCGAATATGATGGCTCGTGCTATCCTCATCTCGCTTCCCTGAGAACAGAGGCTGTGTATTCCCTCTCTCTCTCTCTCTCTCTCTATCCTGGGCACCGCTGTGGGGCCTCTGCAGAGTTGCTGTCCAATATAGTTTTGTTCAATGTTTGCAGACGGTGGGAACTGTTCCTATCTGCCTCCTGCGGATGTCGATGCCAATAACAGCCCCCCAACTAGGGGACACCCCTGGGAAAATTAGGGCGCTAGGGCTCTGTGGTCCCGGGGTGCACGGGGAAGCCAGGAGAACTGTTCATCCGAGCCGAACTTCCGGAACCCTGTGGACAGTCAACTTACAACCGAAACCGACTGCCGGATTCGCGGGGCCCGGTGCAAAATGAAAACGATGGGGCCCTTTGTTAAAAAATTATTAGGAATTCCCAGACGGCCACAGCAGAGCGCCGCACGCAGCACGGGGGCCCTCTGCGCGCAGAGCCCCCCCACCCCCCCCCCCCGGCCCCCGCGTGACCGGTCCAGGTCACAAGTGCCCGAAGCCGGCCTTGCCCACGCCCGGCTTTGCCCGCGTCAGGCCGGCCCGTCCCGCGGCGAGGCCGGCCGGCCGCGGAGAGCACTACCTGGGTGGCCTGCATGAGCTGGTGCCAGTGGCGGTCCCGGATGGCGGGGTTCTGCAGCTCGCTGACGGCACGCAGGGACGTGATGGTGTTCTTCACCATGTTGTCCAGCCCCACGAAGGCATCCCAAGCTTTTATCTCCTTGTCCAGGGACCTCACGTCCTTGGCAAACTTCTTACAGTCTGTGTCCATCTGTTCGACGTTAATATTTTTCCACTTGGTGGTCTTCCAGTTGTCGATGCTGGTGTTCACCTGAGGTGGGGACAGCTCACTGAAGGTTCGGGAAGACGGCCGGGTTACCTTCCTGCCGTGGCCCCCCGGGGAACAGCGAGGGTGGTCAGGTGGACAGATACAAGGGTGGCGGGGGCCGGGGCGGGGAGACGAGTTGTACGGATACAACTTAGAAGTCGGCAGTTAAGATAGATTTGGGCAGTGTCCTATGGTGGGCGTTATTGCTCTATTTTTTTTATTGTTGTTTTTTTTTTTTTAATGTTTGTTTATTTTTGAGAGAACAAGAGACAGAGGGCAAGCGGGGGAAAGGGAGAGAGAGAGAGGGAGACCCAGGATCCGAAGCAGGCTCCAGGCTCCGAGCCGTCAGCACAGAGCCCGACGCGGGGCTCGAACACACGGACCTTGAGATCAAGACCTGAGCCGAAGTCGGACTCTTAACCCAAAGGCCCCTCTACTTAACAGGACCACCCGACGTGCTTCGACCAGGAAAACATGAGTGATGCCTGGCACTTGGGGGCAGAGGCACTTCACTGCCAGGGCTCAACTCCGAGTTCTGTCGCCTTGGCAATCACGGACACGTGTGTGGCTACCTAGCCCGGATCTCTGAGCCGCCCCAGGGCTGCTTAGAACTAACGCGTGGATTCGGCACGGAAGAGAAATACGCTTTTGTTGTTAACAACACAGAGCTGTCTTTCAGGGCTGTTTGTTAGTGCAGAGTAACCTGGCTTATACTGACTGGTGACAACGTGTTAGAAGAAACCGGAAGACACAGGATGTTCCCCTGGGAAAAACCCTACCAACAGTGACGACAGAAGACCACAGATCTTCTGGGTCTGGGATGGGCTGAAAACGGATGCGTAGCTGGGATCGAAGGGACGAGATTATCGGCACGGGCACTTGAGGCAGGGAGGCCCGGGCGGACAAGAGTACTTGTTACCGAACGAGAGAGAGGTGGGGGTGTTTACAAGAAACCTGCCTGGAAGCTATGCTCAGAGGCAAACCTCAATCACATCAGTGGCTCTTTCTGGAAGATTTAAGCTTATTCTCTATCCTGTTTTCCTAGAAGCGTCCTGGCCAGTTCGGTCTGGAGAGCTGTCCCTGAAATACTCTGGCTGTAAACGCTTACTGTTCCCTCCCGGGCAACGTAGGCTCTAGTCTGTGCTGAGTGGTGTTTGTCGAGGGGAAGTGCAGCCACCCGTCCTCTCTGGCTTTACCGCTGCCTGCTGGGATGGCCTTCCGACGCAAGAGACTCGAGTTCAGCTAAGTGTGGAAAGTAAGTATGTGTCCGCTCTTGTTAGGAGCGGTCGTAAGAGAGCCTGTGACTCCAGAGACGCCTCCCCCTGTGTAAGCCCTGCGTGGGCTCAGTGCGGTCATCTTCAACATCGACCTCTGCCATCCTGACAGAGAAACTAAACGAGGAGACAGAGGGTGCTTCCGTACGGGAGCCCTGCGTCACACCGGGAGAGCAGTTCTCCCCAGATTAGCTCGCGGAGAAGATTCGGCTCCGTATAAAGGGGTGATGGTTTTCCCTCTCGAAGGGGAGGAGGATTTGACAAAGATCCTCAAGTTCGATCCCGAGAATGAGAGAGAAGGCTCACGCGTCTCTGCAAACGGGGGAGCTGGGAGGAGAGGCGGCAGGAGCCCCCAGGCGCTCGTGCGCTACCCTTCGAGAGGGGGTGCCTGCGTCGGCCACGCCGTCGCATCCGAGCGGCAGGAGGATAGCGGGAGCACCTCGTCTGGGCGCTGGGGTGCAGTGGGGGCGCAGAGCCCCCTCCCCCCGACATCCGGATGCTGGGCTGCGGCCGGTGCAGAGCCACCTGTCCCCCCGCCGCCCCGTCCTCGGGTCCCCGTGGCGCTGGCCTGCCCCGTCCACACCTGGTGCTTGCCATCCGCCTCACCATGACGATCATGTCCCAGAGCTCCTTCAGCAGGCGGACCTCCTTGTGACAAGCTTTGAGCTGCTTATAGTCTGGGACCGTGACTTCGAACAGGCTCCCGGACTTGCACAGGGAGTCCATGATGCTCTCCATGGACGCGATACTCTTTTGTTGCTGGGGGGGACGGTGAGGGAGGGGGTCAACAGCACCGTTGGCACTCAGCGCCGGCCTCCCTCTCGCCCTCCGCCACGTCCCGGGGCACCTTCTCGGGGTCGCCGCCAGCACCCTGCTGTGTCCTAGCCCCACGCGCCGACCATGGGGCAACGGTCGCTACCCTCCCCTCCTGCCTTCAGGCGCCCGCTGCTTCTGATCGTGCGGGAAGGCGGTTTAGGCTCAAGGAGTGGACGGACTCTATGCGAACTTCCTGAGACTTCCAGGCTTTCCTAATTTTCACGCTCTATTTTATTTTATTTTTTACCTTATTAAGCATTACGTAGGTAATGCCTGATGGCTTTAAATATGATGGAAGCCTAGGCAAGAGGAGGAAGGCAAGAGTCACCCCAAACCAGGAGAGCGAGAGTGGGCGCTTCCGTGTCGAGTAAGCGCGTTGTCTGCGCGGGCGTGAAGGTGGGCTCCCCGTGCATGCGGGCGGGTGGCTCCAAGAGGCCTTTCGCACGCACACACCCGGTTACTAGACAAGCTCACGCGGGATCCCCCTGCAGCATCAGCCCAGGGCCCTCAGGCTCCAGGAGACGCTGAGCGCCTCCCCACTGGGCTCGGGGACGTGACCCTGCAGAACGGGGACCATCTTGGGGAACATCTTGGGGAATGGCAGCCCCGAAGCTGCGTGGGAAGACCAGAGGCTGGGGGAGGGCACGCACGGGTGACCCTGAAGGTCACATGCACTTGCGGTCTCTTGCGCTAAGTCCTGAGTGCCCCACACGCTCCTTCGCGGGAGGCCGCGGGACCCGAGCCCGAGTGGGTGGTCAGGCCCAGCCCCGTGGAATTTGCACGTTGGACACCGGTCACGGATGAAACAGCGGAGACGGAGGGGGACGTGGTGAGAGGCTCGGGCACGGGACTTGGGGTCCGTGGGGACACCTGCGCACACGCACAGCCCCGAGGCCAGGCCCCTCGAGGCCGCGTCCCTGGACGCCCACGAGTGACAGCCTGAGGAACGGCCGAGAGGCACCGGGGCCTCGACCGACGTACCTTATTCAGGGACTTGTAGGGGTCGGGGTCCGTGAAGGTGAACGGCGCTTCTTGCCGGAACTTCTCCCTGAACTCGTGCTGCTTGAGCTAAGGGAGGAGCAGCCGCGTCACCCTCCCCAGCCTGGCCACGTGGAGGGTGCGGGCCCGGCCCCCCGGGATGGCACCACCTCGAACTGCTGGCACTTCCGTCTCAGGATGTTGACCTCGTTGGCCTGGAGGGGCGCCACGTTCTGCTTCACCTGGATGGCCAGCTTCTTGGTGTTTGTCCACTGCTCGGGCAGCTCCTGCGGCAGATCGAGCCCAGGGGCCGTTCCTTTTTCCGTTGTTTCAAGAAACTTCCTATCGCGAAGTGTGACGGACTCACGGGGAATCGCCAAAGGAGTAGAGAGTCCTGTGTGCCTCCCCCAGCCTCCCCCCGGGGCTGGCATCTCAAACGGCCGCGGTGCGACCCCCACCCCAGGAAACCAGCATCGGCGCGTTTCCGGGAACCGGGTGGCAGACCTCATCCGCTTTCACCCTGCATTAACCCGATTCCACCAGCGCACGAGTGTGCACGCGATTTGTGCGTGAGCATGTGTCGTCCTAAGCGATCTGAACCCACGTCTAGGTCCCTGTGACCACATCCTCAGCGCACACACACGGAATGGTCCTTTGCCGGGAAGAACTCGTCTTACGTGGTCTCTGTATCTGCCCCCAGCCCGTCCGTGGGCAACCACTAACCTTCTCCCCATTTCTAGAATCTTGCTAGTTTAAGCACGGCTTTAACGATCAGATGGATTTTTGTATTTTCAAAGTTCTCCACCCCGAGCAACTATCGGACTTCTAATCGTAAGATGCTGAGGCCCTCCCCCTTCCACCCTGCCCTGCCACGGGGAGAGCCGGGCTGACCCGGGGCCTTCCGGGCTGGGCAGTTCCCAGAGCAGCTGCCCCCATGCCCCTCCAGGAGGGAGCCGGCCCTGCCTCGGCCTCACGGCCCTTCCCCTCACCTCTGCGGGGCCTCCGCTGACCCCGCTCTCCGTCCACTGTCCCCCGCACCCAGGGCGGACCCGTCCTCAGGGGCAGGTGTGGGGTACAGGGGCATTTTTAATCCAACAGTTAAAGGGAGGCCCCACTGGCCCCACCCTGGAGGCCGCCTCAGTGTCCCTTCCTCTGTGGGGACATTCCACGGGGTTCCTGAATCCAGAGGGGAGGTTTATCGTGCAGGCCCCGCGTGAGGCCTTGTCCCTGTTCAGACAGCCTGCACCCCCACTGCAAGGCCCCCAGCAGTGGGCAGCCTCCCTCCCCTCTTCCCTGGAGGCACTCCTCCCCTCTTCCCTGCACACCCTCCTCCCCCCACCCTGCCCAGCACTGGGCGGCCTCCCTCCCCTCTTCCCTGCACGGCGCGGCACCTGACCACTGTCTACCTGCAGCTTCACATGCGTCTCCTCCGGCATCTCCTCCCCGTAGGTCTTGAGCAGCTCGATGGTTTGCTTCAGGGGCTCAAACATGTTGTCGGTGGCCACCTGCCTCTCCTTGACCTTCATCAGATGCCCCATCACCTCCACGAGACCGTCATAATCCCCCTCCTTGAGGGGCTTTGTCAAGCCCATCCTGGCAACTTTCATGAAGGCCTCTAGGTCAGCCAGGCTGTTGAACGAGAGGGCCCGGTGACAGGCGCCCCCCTCCACGGGGAGGGTGAGGCCCATCGGAGGCGGCGGCCAGCCCCGAGGGCTCCCCCGTTGTGCTGCGGGGCCGTGCTGAGCAAGGGAGAGCTCCTGTCCGCCCCCCGACACCACCTTGACCCTCACCCTACGCCTTACCAGCCCCACTCAGACTGGCCTCCTGGGCAGAGCTCAGCCCTCCCGTACTCTGTCCCGGCACCGTGCCCTCAAGGTCCTGACTGCCACCTCTGGTCTCGTGGGGCCGGTCCCCTGGTGACACTTCAGCCTGCTCTGCCCCACCCTCCAGGCTGCAGACCGTGCGTGCTCAATAAACAGGTGTCGAACGAAGCACAGGGTGTCCCTTCACAGCCGGTGACACCTTTCCGCTGGGACCCCCACCCCCACCCCTTGCTGGGGGCCCACTGGCCTCTAAGCCTGACCTTCAGCCACCCCATGGCCCGGAGGAGGGCCCACCAGCACCACGGAAGCTTGTCTGTCCGGCTCTCCAGGGACGCGGCCCTCTGCAGGGTGGCGGGGGATGGGCTGCGGGGTCCCGGTGCCCACCTGTTGACGACGTGTTCGCCCAGGTGACGCTTGAACGTGAAACCCCAGCGCTTGATGATGTTGAGCAGAGCCTGCTTGAAGGGGCGGCAGTCGCACTGCAGCCAGCCGTTGAACACCTTGGCGTTCTCACACTTGGACACCTCCTCGTACAGCTTCTCGTAGGAATCGATCTGGAAAACGGGGCCACGGCTCAGTCGGGCGGCCGTGGGAGGCGGCGGCACAGCACGCGGGCGGCCCCCACCCTCCTGCGGGGCACGGCTTCCCGTCCCGGCAGCCCCGGGTTCCCCGCAGCCCAGTGGCCCATCCCCAGCTCAGGCAACCTGTCGGAAAGGGACGCCATCGGGCAAGGCCAGCACGGCCTCTGCAGGACGGGCCAGAAGCCAACAGGTGAATGCGGTCAGGGCAGGCTTGGGGCACCCTACACTTGGCCCTCTTCGTGCGGCGTTCCATTCTCGGGGCTCTCACGCTCCACCAGCCGCCCCCACCCCGTGCGGCGGCATCGGCCCTGGTGCGCGTCTCCCCTGGGGGCGGGTCACTGCTGCTCACGGGCGACTCCCCGTCACCGCGCGCGGGCAACAGGTGGAGGTTTGCGTACTAACGGTTTTTCTCACGTTCCGTCTTTCTGCTCTGGCACCTGCAGCCTTGCTGAGCCTGGTGGGACGGTCCCTCCCAAGGCTGGCAAGTTCCCAGGGAAGGCCTCTCCCCAGGGAGCGTCTTTCTTATACCAACCAACCCAGAACCCACTCCCCAACCACCCTCTTCGCCCTCGGGGCCAACATTCCCCTGTCCTCAGCACCCCAGGGCCTGGTCCCCACAACGAGGCACCAGCCCTACACCACGGAATCCACTGACGTGATTCCCACTAGCTGATCCTAGGTCCCCTTGCCCTGCCTCTCCCGAATATTCCTTCCAGGCTGTGAATCACGCCTTCCCCTCTGTCCCTCTGCCTCCAGACCGACCCCAGTGCTGCCCCCCAGTGCTGACCCCGTGGCCCTGCGGGGCGGGGCCTGCCTCCTCCTCCTGGAACCAGTGAGTCACAGACTCTTCCATGGCGATCATCTCCTGCTCGGCTGGAGTCACCAGACCCGAATAACAATAAAACCCGCATTTTGAACCTTTCACCGGAGGTTTGAACGGAGCCCAGTGACCTCCCTCCCTGGGGTGGGTGGGGGAGGGGGGTGATCCCAGGGGGCGAGGCTCACGCGCACCTGCTGTTGGAAGTGGGCGAGGGTGGGCGGCGTCTTGGGGAGGGCCTCCTCGGCCCGGGTGTCCAAATCGTCCAGGGTGGCCGCCCGCCCGTAGATGAGGAAGTTCTTCATGAACTCCTGGGGGTCGTCCATCCACAGGTAGGAGTACCTCTCGAAGGAGTCCTGGTACTCCTCGGCCTCCTTCATGGCGCTGAGGACCAGGTTGGACAACTCCTCCCTCGTCTCTATGAGGTCCGACATGTCCTCGAGGTCTGCCTGGGAGCGGGCAGGAGACAAGCAGACCTGTGAGCGGTTTTGCCGGGGGTCACGGCGTGGAGGTCATCTCTCCGCCCTGCAAGGAAGCTCCCTGCCGGCGGGAGCGTTGCTAACCTCTCACGGTGGGAAACAGAAATCTGACCACTTGCAAGGTTCGCCCGTGAGGAGATCACGTCGAACGTGACTTTTGTCTGGCGGACCCCAGGGTGACTCACACACTGATTCATCTGCGCCGTGCACCTGCTGTGCGCCACACGAGGGGGTGGGCACGGGGGATCTAGACAGGGCTCGCACGGAGGGTCCAGGGGCGGGGTCAGACGTTCACCAAACAATCCCAGACCCTGAGACTTGCCCTAATGTTCACCGGGGAGGAGGTGGGGGGAACGCTCCCTGCGGAAGTGACCGTTGTTTGGACCCCTGCTGGATGGTTGGGGGGGGGGCGCAAAAAGCAAGAGAAGCAGCGAGGCACAAACAAAGGCCCTGTGCTGGAAGGACGCGGCCGTCTGAGGAACTAAAAGGAGTCCACCACGATGGCTAGGGCGGGGACCAGGGGAGGCCTGTTCTGGACAGAATCTTCTGCGTTTCAAGCGACAGAAAACCCATTTCGTATTTTCGTATACGTAATGTGTAATAAATTTCGTATACGTAATTTATTTACGAAATAAAATTATGAAATTTTATTTTCGTATCTTAAGATTCACTGACATCTTCTAAAAAACGTTTTTAATATTTATTTTTGAGACAGAGACAGAAAATGAGCCGGGGAGGGGCAGAGAGAGAGAGGGAGACACAGGATCCAAAGCGGGTTCCAGGCTCCAAACTGTCAGCACAGAGTCTGACGCGGGGCGCGAACCCACAAATGGTGAGATCGTGACCTGAGCTGAAGTCGGACGCTTAACTGAGCCGCCCAGGTGCCCCAAGATTCACCGACGTCTTAAAAAACCTTGCTGGCTGGGGAGACACCACCCTCCTGGGGACTAGACAATTCTGAGCAAGGCTAAGGGCTCAGGAACAGGGAGCACACCCTTCATATGCAAACCATCCAGCCCTGGGTCTCGACACACCAGCCCTGGCGCGCCCCCACCACCTCCTTTATCCCAAGCCAACGCTCCTCCTATCCTAAGTGCCCCAGGGTCAGGTACCAGGTAATCGAGGCGACCCCTGGGCCTCAGAGTCACTGACGTCAGTGCAAACTGGCCAGTTCTGAGCTGTTTCCCTCACCAGCCTTGCCTCTCCTGCAGAAACCCCATGAAAGTCTCTGGCCTGGGCGATCCTCCTCATTCCTGCTTCTGCCTCCCGACTGCACCTGCTTGGATCCCTGCCACCCCTCGGGGCCCGCCAGGCCTCCCGTTTCTATGGGAACTGTGAGCAGCACTAACTTTCCTCTCAATGGCACCGGCCTCTCCACATCACCGCTCAGTCACCTCCGTAAACTAAGATCCCACAGGTAGGAATGAGACCGGTGTGTGTGGGAGGGTGCAAGGCCTGGGGCGTGGCATGATCAGCAGGATCCTTGTCTTACTTTGCTCTGTCCTCCTCCACGTGTGGCTTCCTCAGCAAATGGATCCCCTCAGAGCCCCACGGAGGCTGCAGGAGCTCCAGACTCGCATCCTGCCAGACTCCGGAGCTCACGGGGTCCCACGTCCATACCTGAGTGAATGTCTGGTGGCAGACTCTATTCTGGGCTCTGGAACAGCTTGCCGTGTGCACTTGGGCCGGGCTCGTCCCCTTTCTGTGGCTCAGAAATCCTCAGGCCGTTTTCTTTGCCTGATACCGTCGGCCTGGGAATCCCCTCCTCACCCTTCAAGACTCGTGCACACTCAGCTCCTCTGGGAAGCCACCCTTGACCTTGCCACTCATCTCCTCTGTGTACCCACCTCACCGCACGCGCTCGCGGGCACACACGCTCACACACAGGCACACACACACGCACGTGTGCACACACACCTTCCTCCCTAACAGTACAGAGCTTCTTGTTGTAAATACCTGTTATTGCAAAGAATTCATGCCCGTTACCAAAACTTCAAGCGGTGCTCACGTATATGAAATAAAAAACCTTGCACCCCCTGTCCCGCCCCGACCCTTCACCGTCCCCCATCCTTAACCCCATCCTGTTTCCAGAGGTAAGCACTCTTAACAGTTCGGAGTGTATCCACAGAAATACAGGCTTTTGTTTGTGTCGACGAATGAAATCGTATTCTACGCGTTGTGCCACAACTTGATGAGCACTTAACAACCTGTCACCGGCCTCTTTCCACCCCTGGCTCATGTTTGGGACTCAGCTGGCTGTCCTTGTGCGGATGGGCCCGAATCTACTGGAATCTACTGGAGAGCTCCCTTATTGGAGGGCATTTAGGTCTTTTCCAGTTGGGGTTTCCCTGTTATACAGACAACGCTCTGACAAACACGTCCTCAGACCTCCCTCCAGGGGGAGCCTAACTTCCTATGCCTTTTTTGTGTCTGGAGAATCCGCTCGAACTGGGTCTTGTTTCCGGGTGTTTAATGCATCGAGGGTCCGAGGATGTGCGAGCCAGGGAAGCGTGTTGGTCGAGATGCCCGAGCACTGAGGGACTCACAGGGTTAACCTCCAGAAGGGAGCGAACTACCAGCACGCGGGGTAAGAGCACACGCTTGCCATCTTGGTGGGGTGGGGGCGCGTCGGGGAGGTGACCGGAACAGGGGAGCCGTAGGAGCCTCTGCAGGGGAGGAAGGTGGGGCCGGGTGAGGCCCGGACTGACCTTGTAGCTCATTCGGTTCTTGGCCAGCCGGGGGATGAGCTTGGCTGCAGTGTAGATGTCGTTGATCAGGCCCTCAATCAGCATCAGGAAGCCATAGTCGGGGCCCAACTCCAGGGACGGATTGAAGACCAGCCCGTCCTCGTCCAGCTGCATGAGGACCTCAAACAGCGGTGCCACGCTCCCCTGGAAGAGATTGTCCCGGGCTCAGTACCTCGAGCTCGGATGAACCTCTCCCAAGGTCCCAGTGTTCCCTCCGGGCACCACAGGGCTGCCCCGGGCCGGCCGGGAGCACTTGGGGGAGCACGCCTTCCCGGGCCCTTTGAGCCACAGGGCTCAGAGCAGGCTGGAGCAGGGGACCCCCCCCACTGCCTCACTGCAAAGCCTGTATCTGTAGCTCACCAGCTGCGTGGCCTCCCAGGCTCCCCAAAAACATAAAATGAGGATAATCTTGTGTAGAATAGAGATGCCAACTGTCCCCATCTCTTGAGGTTATTATGAGGACTAAGTAAGTCAGTAACGCATGAAGCGTGGGAGTGGTGGCCGGTGACTGTGAGTGGCCCACAGTGCATGGTGGGCTGGGGGTGGGCGGTGTCCCAGCTGGGCAGGACGGGCTTCGCTGCGCTCCAGAAAGCACAGCCCTCCCATCTCTGGAGGCCCCTGGCTCTAGGTAGTTGTGCGGTGAAGCACCTTCGCCACAGAACTCATTGACGGTCGAACAGCTTTGCCATAAAAGATAAAAAAAAAAAAAAAAAAATAGCCTGTTGGTGGTTTGTTCTCAGAGGTGTCTGCCATTTTTTATCACACGATATAAACCTCGGCTAGCCCTCGCCGTGGGTGCCAGGGGAGGTCAACCGCGGGTGTCAGCTTGATGGAAAACACGGTGGTGAACTTCCTGGGAGTGTGAAACAAGGCCGGGTAAAGCCAGGTTGCACGCTCGACTCTCCTAGAAACGGAGAGCACGCCAGTTACGACGCGCGACGGCATCAGCATTTTCCTGTATTTCCTGCAGAACGCTGGGTGCCTATCAACCTACACGTGACAGTGTGCCAAGGGGACACGTCAGCGGAGACGCTTTCACGGGGCAAATACCATCAGTTACCAATTGGCACCCTAGTATTTGGAAAATGGATACCTCTCTTAAATGAAGGAAGAAATTTATTTATTTATTTATTTATTTATTTATTTAATGATTTTATTTTTGAGAGAGAGAGAGAGACAAAGCATGAGTGGGGTAGGGGCAGAAAGAGAGAGAGAGACACACACATACACGCGCGCGCGCGCGCACACACACACACACACACACACACACACACACACAGAATCCAAAGCAGGCTCCAGGCTCTGAGCCATCAGCACAGAGCCCGATGCCGGGCTCAAACTCACAGACCGTGAGATCATGACCTGAGCCAAAGCCGGACGCTCAACTGACTGAGCCACCCAGGTGCCCCAGAAGAAATTATTAATATGATTAGTTTTGTCCTGTTTCATGGGGGCCTTTTTAATGTCCCTCTTTTATCTTTCATGGCAAAATTGCCTTGTGGCCAATTAGCGAAGCAACTAAAACACCTGCTGTGGAATACCAGCCACCAGGTGGGTCGGCCTCAGCTGTGCCCCAGCAAGGACAGCCAGCCACTGGACTTCCCCTTCATAAAGCACGTGTGCACCGCAACCCTGTCTGTTCCTGGATCCCCCTTGCGAGGCTGCATGGCTATGGGTGATGGCCTCATTTGTAAGGTGACCCGATGGAGGTTAGCCCCACACCAGCGATGCTCCGAGGATGGGCCAAGGCCCACGGGTGGCCATGAAATCCACTCCACGGCTGCTAGTGTTCTTCTAAACACAGTCCCACGATGGCCCTGTGGGCGATTGACTTGAGAACCCAATACAACCAATGGATGGTGTCTACTGGTGTTTAAGTGAATTGCTAACTGGCACAAAAGGCCAGTTGCCACCAACTCAGATGACCAGGCTTTTCTAAAGCCTCTGACTCAGGGCTCTGCTCTTGCTGCTGGGCTGCGTGCAAATATAGGGACTCCCTGGGACTTTTGGAGAAGGACATTTTGTCATCAGGGGATCGTCATGGTTTTGATGGTGACTAACTATAAATTACAGAACTTGCTGACATTTTGCATCACTGTGGGTTGCTTGGTGAACCTTAGAGTCGGTAGTAACGATGACGATCCATCAACAGAGTTTTGGGTCTGTGATTGTCTGGTGACACCCGGCCTTTGAGACGTATGTGCTGGGCTCAAGCATGAACCATCCATCTCTGCAGCTGGTCCGAGGGCGCCTCGCTGTCCTTCCCACTGTCCTTCCAGTGGGTGCACTGGGTGGGCCGGGGGATCTTTGATCATGCCCTGCTAGCATATTCGATACCATTTGGGAACTATTGTAATGAAAAAGACATGGCTCGGGGAGGGCTGACCCACGGGGAAAACGGTGGAGAACATTCCGGGATGAAATCAACCAGCACGTCCTCTTTGCCGGCCTGCTTTACACTCCCGCCCGCCCCGCGGAGGGTTGAGTCGGTTGGTAGCTGATGTTGCCGACAGGAGGGTACACCCTGCCCAATCCGTAAGACTAGGGGGCCAGCGGTGCCTGCTTTCCCTCACCTAGCAGCAAGGCAGGGCCTGGCCGATGCACGGTGACCAGATGCCCTGAGTGCTGGGGCCTGAAGAGGGTCCTGGCATGCAGGAATCTCAGTTTCAAGTCCAGGGTGAGGAGTTCCCCCTACGCAGGTTTTAAGGTCTGTTTACTTGTAACATGATAGCCTGGTCTATGCAAACTATAGATTGCAAAGTAGACCTTATTTTACAGTTACAATACCGTAAGTACAGCACAAATGTACGTGTATCTTATGTTTATAACTCACATCCGCGACCATGTTGTCCATTAGGTAGTTCAGAGATTTGCGGATGAAATGGTCAAATTCGTCCAGGACCATGTCGTCAATGTAGTCGATGTAGTCTTTCCAGGACTGGCTCGTCGTATCTGCTCTGAACAGCTCAGCATTTTCCTGTGAACAGAACCACGCAGTCGGCTGATGCTTCATGGATTCACCTGCTCCTTCTTTAACCGACTCACTAGGGGACTCTCTGGGCTACTCTTGTCCCTGTTCACATACTCCAGGCACACGGGGTTGCTTTTAGCTTCCTGAAAGTGCCGGGCTCTTTTCTACGTCAGAGCCTTCCCACAGGCTGCTTCTCATTCTTGCTTCCCATTCTTGCCAAGCCTTCCTTCTTCTAACCTTTTAGGTTTCAGCCCAAATGTTACCTTCTCACAAAGGAAAGCCCCTCCTACCCCCCCGTTGGCCACACCCTATTCATCTCAGATTTGGCTTCTGTTCCTGCCTCTTACCTGTAATCCCTCTAGCAATCCATTATTTGTGCCTACTATAGCACAGATGCAATCCTGAATTATTGTATTTATTTGTGTTTAGTCTGTACCTCCCCTTAATACCAAGCTACATGAGTTCATGGATTGACTGTCCTTTCCACCACTGTACCTTCAGCTTGTGGCAGGATGCTTGGGACAAAGCAGGAGCTGGTGAATGGATGGATGGGTGGGTGGAATGATGAGTGGATGGGTGTTTGGATGGATGGATGGATGGATGGATGGATGGATGGATGGTTGAGTGGGTGGATGGATGGATGGGTAGACAGATGGGTGGATAGATGGATGGGTGGATGAACAGATGGATGAATCTGTAAGACACTGAGAGCTATAGGGTAAACAAAGATGAATATGGCCCAGTCCGCACCCTCAGGGCAGTTATCTTCTAATAGGGGAAAGAAGACACAGGCCTAAGTAACTTCAGCCTAAGGCAGAAAGAAATGGTTCAGATGATTATTACGTGCATCGAGGACTCTGGCAAATGGGACAACAAAGCCTTGCCCCCTCAGCTTGCTGGCTTCCACTTTTCCCAGGTTCCTATTCCCCGGCGCGCTGCCTCCTCTCTGTCCTCTTTCTGTGCCATTGTGCTGTGGACCCTTCCCTCATTCCAGCCAAATTTCTCTCTGCTTTGCCCATTTCCAACACATCTGAGAGCGTAACAGGTTAACTGGTCAACGCTTCCAAGTAATAGGTTTGCAGCTACACATCTTAATTTAGTGGGAGCTTCTGGCACCAAGGCAAAGGGGAAGGAAGAGGGTCTGGAAACAAGACAGAATATCTTCTGATCCAGTCAAGTAACTCCACTGGGGCAATGGCCTTGTAAACAATGGCTTGACCATGAGAACAACCAATGAGATACCCTCCTCCCTGGTGGGGCGGTGGAGGGGGGGGGGGCGGGTGGTGGTGCTGCGGTCTGTCTGGGTGTGGTGATCCATCACTGAAGTCCACATCCATGATTTGTACCAAGCATCAGAAAACCCAAAAACAACTGCCCTGAAAATATCTTGAGCTCAAGGTAGAATCTTCTTTTTTGGGGGCCAAGGCAGAGCTCCACCTCTCATACGTGCCTCAGAAACAAGCTAAAACGGAAGCCGGATCAAACGGCGGCCAGTGAGGAAGGTGTGAGAATCCCCGCGTCGTTGGGAACCTGGGTAGAACTTCCAGGGGCGCCAGGCTACTGCTTCTCCTTCTCCCTCAGAGTGCCCCGGCCAGGACAGAGGCCCACGGCCCCTTGAGGCTCTTGGCAACAAGGCACAACCTATGCTCAGGGCAGCCCAGCAGGTGAGTGCTCTCACATCCCCCCAGTCGGAACGTGTCGGCACCGGGACACCAGGCACACACGTTCCACATTCCTCACCCGCATTTACGTGTTTCGTCGGGAAAGCGCCAAGGACAACAGAGACACACGGCGCCTGTCCTCAAGCAGCGTGACCCAGGGAAACAAGATTTGCTGACCTTGTACGACGATGTCACTGGTCTATACCACTTTTGTGCAGGGTAGGGCGTGCTGACCCCTTAGCACGGAGGAGGGCAGGCCCATAGCAAGAGAAACTCGTTAACCGAGGGTACGTTTACCATAGTCTGTCTGCTTTCTGCAAGTGAGACTCTCGGAGTAAAGAGAGTAACTTCCGTGACTACTAAAGTAATTTTTGTGACATCTCTGGCTCTCCCTCTTCTACTGAAAGTGAGTGGCCTCTCGAAGCCCCTTCTGGGCGAGTCCTTACCATGACCATGGCTTGAATCTTTACACCGGCGTCCTTGACCGCAGTGTAGCGCTTGTTGAGATTGACCATCCTTCCGTCCAAGTCCAACAGGGCCTCCTTCTTATTGTCCTTTCTCTCAAACATCGGGTTGGCGGACCAGTCCTGCAGGGCACAGGTGGGAGTGAGGAAAACATATGGGGAAAACACCTGTGGTCTTGTGCCTTCTCTACCTGCTCGTTGATGCGAATGTCCTTGTCCCTCGGAGAGGCCTGGGGGCCCCTGAGGACACTTGAGCAGAGAGCTTAGACGGTTTGCCTAAAAGCCAGGCAGAGCCTCGGGGGGTGGGGGTGGGGGTGGGGGGTGCAGGGAGACCACTGGATGGCTCTACCTGCCTGACCAGGCCCAAGAGGAATCACCCTGGGGCAGGCATCTGTGGTGAGGGGTGTGTGGTCAGAGCTGGGCAGAGCATCCATGGCTCCGAATAGCAGGCCCAGGGGGAGGAGTCCCTCTTGTGGGGACAGCTGACCTACTGCTGGGTCGGGGGAGCGGGGATAGGGGGCTCTGACCCTCCTATAATTGGGACTTCTACTACAAGGATTCTTGTCATCGGCAATTACGATATTGATTTTGCTCTATTATCCAATAGTTAGATCTTTTAAAAAAAATTTTTTTAAACATTTTATTTTTGAGAGCAAGAGAGACAGAGTGTGAGCAGGGGAGGGGCAGACACACACACACACACAGAATCCAAAGCAGGCTCCAGGTTCTGAGCTGTCAGCACAGAGCCCAACATGGGGCTCGAACCCATGAACCATGATATCATGACCTGAGTGGAAGTTGGATGCCCAACCTACTGAGCCACCCAGGTGCCCCCTTTTTTTTCATTTTAAATTCTCATCGATACACACAGCAACAAAACACTGAGTGGGAAAACTTTCTGGACAAAACCCACACCCCCTTGGCCCCATGTCTTCCTGTCTCTCCATCCTGGTCCCCACTGGAAACTTCGGTTGCCCTAGCACTCGAGATGGTTTGTGGGACTCTCTGTGTCAGATTGAGTCATGTCTAGACCGTCTTGTGACTCGAGTGTGAGCAACCAAGGTTTAGCTCACCTGCCTCTCCCTTCTCCCCAGTATTTGAGAATTACATGTGCCTTATTTATTTTTTTTGCATTATTTATTTCAGGTCTAATAGACTGACTTGAATTGTTTTCTTTTCCAATTACTTGGTTTCCTCATGCAGCCGGGGAGTCAGATACTATTTACTGTCTTGTTTGGGTTGCTGTTTTTGGATGGAGTAATCCGTGTGAGGGCCTGGGCGAGCCAGACCCCGTTTCTGCACCCAAACCCTGAGTGAGGTGGCCCTCCATCCACCCCCTCCCTTCCGGCCGGGCTGCAGCTTCTGAATGGACGTGTAGAGGACACAGCTGGGGGCAGGGCCCTGAGGCCAGCACGAGGGGCCCGGTGACTGCTCCCCCTGTAACTGAGATTAATGTGGGAGGTGAGAAGGCCCAGCCAGGTGAGATGGGGCCCCTCGATGGGATTAGTGTCCTTATAGGAAAAGGCAGAGAGACTAACTGTGTCCTCACCATGTGAGGCAGGAAAGGGGCCCTCGCCATCAACTATGGCTGACGGCACCCTGATCTTAGACCTGCAGCTTCCAGAGCAGAGCCGAGCGAACACGTGCTATTGGAGGCTGAGATGTCGTGTTACGGCAGCCAGGCCAATGTGCCCACCCCCCCTCCCCCGCTCTGACACAGAGGGCGCAGTCAGAACGCACTCCTGACCCCAGCAAGCTCAGAGCCAGGGGAACCAGCATTCCTGCTGTGCCCCGGTGGAGAACGTGGAGACTGGCAGAGCTCCCGAAGGGGATACCCCTGAGACACTGAGCAGGTACAGAAGATTCGGTCTCTTTGGGACAGGAAGCACTTAACCAAGTCTGGGGAGCGTTAACAAGAGGAGACACCTGTCCAGACGCACTGCGGGGGCATTTCTGAGCCCCGACAGTGACGAAGAACTTTACGTGCCTACAGAGAGAGCAGGGGCACCCACAGGACAGTCACACCATCGCCAGCCTTGTCAACGTGGGCCTGGGAGACAGGGACTGTGACGGCTGAACCGTGTCCCCCAAATTCACAGGCTGAAGCCCGGACCCCCTGGTATCGTGGGATGTGTCTAGAAAGGGGTCTTTAAAGAGCTGGTGAAGGCAAAATGGGGCCATTAGGTGGGCCCAAGCCCAGTATGACTCATGTCCTTATAACAAGGGGAGATCAGGACACAGACATGCACAGAGGGACGACCACATGAACACACGGGGAGGAGACGGCCGTCTGGGAACCCAGGACAGAGGCCTCTGGAAAACCACGCCGACGGCACCCTATCCAGACGTCCTGCCTCCCAGACTGTGAGGAAATGAACTTCTGCTGTTTAAGCCGCCCAGCCAGCGGGCTTTGTCAGGGCAGCACGAGCTCGCTGATACACAGATGTCTCTAGACTGTTGAAAGGAAAGGACTGTATCAAAAAAATCGCTCACCTGGACAGGACAGCTGCAGGTGAGGTCAACAGAGACAGATTTTTGGACAAGCAAGGACCCACTAGGTCATCAATGCACCTTTCCTGCCCGCAGAAATCACCTGAAGAAATATTCCACTCAAGCGACAACCGAGCAATGATCCCGGTCTACAGTTTATGGAGTAAACCCAAGCGGGTGTTGGTGAGCCCCTCCCTCCCTACCTCTCAAAAATAAACATAGAAAAGAAAAAAGAGAAAAGAAAAGAAAGTTCACACCATGACAAAGGAGACTCAAAACCAAACGATGGCCGGAGTCAGAAACGTGAAACTCTTCCAGCTCAGACATTTGCAGGAAGGTGGCCGGAGGAGGCAGAAGATCTGAGGTCCCATGGGTGGGGGCACGATGGGCAGTAAAACAGAATGTGATTAATCTTGACATACCGATGGAGAAATAGAGCTTAAACATGATTGTTTTAAAAATGAAATGGAGTGGGGCGCCTCCTGGTTGGCTCAGTCAGTGGAGCACGTGATTCTTAATCTCAGGGTCATGAGTTTGAGCCCCACGTTGAGTGTAGAGATCACTTAAAGAAATAAACTTAAAAAAAAAAATGGAGTCATGTAGTAGACTGTAAATTAACGAGGCAGGGCAGTTCAAGCTCCCCTTTGGATGTGTCACTGCAGATGTCTCTCTGCACGTTAGGGCCTTGATGACGGACCGTGGGGAAGCTAGTGAAGGAATTCGCCCCCAGTTTCCTGGATTGGGCTTGAGTGAAAGTCAGCTCGGTGCCTCCCTGAGCGGAGCTGAGTCTCAGGGTACCTTCCTGCCCCCTGTTCCCGGTGCCTTCCCGGCAGAGAGAGGACCCTACAAGCACTCTTGCCGAGCTCAACAGAACGGAACAGAATTGAATTCTGCACCCTGGCCTGGGACTTCTCTGCCTCGGGACCACCTTGACATCGTTGTGCAGTCCAGAGCCTCACACAACAAGTTCCTGCTGCCTTCGGGACTCTCTGTGAGCATCTCCGCGGGTGCCTTTTCCCCAGGACCCTCTCCTGGGCTTCTGGTTAAGCCCTGCTCTATAATACCTTGCTGCTTACTCACCTTCATGGCCTGAGAAATTCCATCTATATTTTGCTTGGCTTTTTGCATCCTGTTCTGCAAGTTATGTAGAATTTCTCGCAAGTCTTGGATATACTCTAACACACCTAAAATATAAACATCAAGGAATATAATGAAATGAACAATTCAGAACAGTGAAAAGTCTTGGGCAGGCTTTTGCGCTCATCACTGCCAGACAGCGCTTGGAAAACATGCCTGCTGCTCATCCAGAGTTCTCCAAACGCAATGTTGACAGATGATGCACACAGCGTCTGTTCGGAAGCAGGACTTCCCTATCCCCAAATAGGTGGGTCATCAGTTCTCGGGCCCCCACCCCCAAGGGGACCCCTCGCGCCCCTGCCCCTCCAACCACCAGCAGGGCACTGGAGACACATGAGCATGGTGACAGGTCTCAGCGTCCTGGGCCACAGCGGCTGGAAAGGGGTGCGTCCTTGGGCCACAGTGAGAAGCAGTGTATCTTCTCTGAACGGAAAGTCCAGGCCAACCCCAGCTGCAGGGAGGTGGACGGTCCCACCTTCTAAGTGAGACAGTGGAGACAGGATATGGCCAAAAAACGGCCCAGGGCAAGTTGCAGGCTTTGATAAAGGAGACAGCCTTGGTGGTGGTGGCCACCCAGAGGTGGGTCCAGAGGGGAGGGACATCAGGGGGGAAGGCTTCTGCCTGCTCCCGTGGTGGGAAGAAGGGACTCTGTGAGCACACTTCTTTCTGCTTCTCTGACACCTGCCCAGGAAACCACCAAAGAGCCCCAGGCCCCAAAAGCCCACTGTGAAAACTTTGGGACCCTTGGTGGTCCCCGGAGGGGTCTTTGCCTGATTCCATTTGTAAGTGACACAAATGGGCTCTTTGGGACAGGGCAAGCAGGTGGAACTCTCCGATGGCCTTTAACATAACCCCACTGGAGTCAAAGTGGACCCACCCAACCGGGAGGCAGAAGCAGCCATTTGCAAGTGTCATAGGATAGATGCTGGACAGGGAGGACATCCCCCCCACCCCACCCCACCGCCATTGATCTGCTGGTCACCCTCCCAGTGAGACAAACATGGCCTCAGTACCTTCCCCATTCCAGAACAGCGTTGTTTCAGCAGTCAATAACTTGACATCGATTGCTTCCAGTTCTGACTTTATTAGTGGAAATTCTACATCCATCACGGTGGTCTGTATCTGCAACAAAAAGGCTATAGTCTCAGGGTCTTTGCTCCAAATCCAGCCAGATTTTAAATGGTCTCATGGTTAGGGTTTTCTTACCCATTACCAACCAAACCAATTACAACTTGTGTCATTTAATTGGGAATTACGTATAATTCAAATTCCAGGAGATTTCAGCTTCTAAAAGCTACTTTTATCACCAAGGATTTACGTATGCACTTAACTCTTGGCTACCTACAGAATGGGGTAGAAACAGAAGGAAAGGTGATAATGGGACAATAATGAGTGTGTAACCCAAAAACTGTTTTTATTTGGCTTAAAATCATACAAAGAAACTCAGAGAAATGGACACGAGTAACTGAAGTAGGTCGGGGCTCAGAATCTCTCCTTGGTCATAAACCCCAAGCCTGCAATTTAGGTATATAGAGGAGATCCAGGGGATGCCTGGGCAGTGTGTGTGTGTGGCAGGGCGTGGTGGGGGGGCCGCGCTCAGTTGGCTAAGCATCCGACTCGATTTCAGCTCAGGACACGATCTCGCAGTTCATGAGTTCAAGCCCCACATTGGGCTCTGCGCTGACAGTGTGGAGCCTGCTTGGGATTCTCCCTCTCTCTGCCCCTCCTGTTCGCATGTTCTTTCTCGCTCTCAAAATAAATAAACTTTAAAAAATAAAAAAGGAGGGGTGCCTGGGTGGCTCAGTTGGTTAAGCGTCCGACTTCTGCTGAGATCATGATCTCACGGCTCGTGAGTTCAAGCCCTGCATCGGGCTCTGTGCTGACGGCTCGGAGCCTGGATCCTGTTTCAGATTCTGTGTCTCCCTCTCTCTGCCCCTCCTGCCCCCCATCATCCTCTGTTCTCTCTCTCAAAAATAAACAAACATTTAAACAATTTTAAAAACAACTAAAAAAAAAAAAATAGAAAAGGAGATCTAGGATCTACAGGGAAGCTATTCAAGCTGTTTGTGAATCAGAGCACTCATCCAGGTCCTATATAGTGTTGATACACTTCTACCCTGCTCTAATAGAGAAATTCATTTAAGGCTTGGAAAAAACATCAATTCACAAAACAGGAGGAAAAAGGAGAAGGAGGGTGTATACAGTTTTTACAAATTATTCCTTTATTTTTTAACTTTTTAAAAAATGTAATGTTTATCGATTTTGAGAGAGAGAGAGAGCGAGCGAGCGAGCGAGCATGAGCAGGGGAGGGACAGAGAGGGAGGGAGACAGAGTCTGAAGCAGGCTCCAGGCTCTGAGCCATCAGCACAGAGCCCGATGCAGGGCTCGAACTCACGAGCCGTGAGATCATGACCTGAACCGAAGTTGGACGCTCAACCAACTGAGCCACCCAGTCGCCCCTGTAAATTATTCCTTTAACTGACAAGCACCATTGGAGTCTTGGAATGTCCTTTTACCTAGCAACATTTTTATTTTATATAACTTTTCAAGGACACTTGTACTTTATAAAGTGAGGGATGCAAAACAGTTAAAATCGTACATTAAACGCTGACCACTCTTGCCTTTCAGAATAATCCCTCACATTTATTTGGTCCTTTTACGTGCCCCCCCCCCCCCCCCCCCCCTTTCTGCTGACCTCCGCCCTCAGGTGTTTTCATGTGGTTCACTCTCTAAGCAGGTGGGTGAGGCCAGAGAAGTAAAGCTTACAAACCTATCACCGATAGAAACAGGACGGAAAGAAGAGAAATTCCATCTATGGAATTACAAAGCGAGTGAACGAGAAGGTACCGATTCCACTCATCAGAGTTTAGATACGAAATAACGGGGCGCCTGGGTGGCGCAGTGGGTTGAGCGTCCGACTTCAGCCAGGGCACGATCTCGCGAGATCTCGCGTGATCTCGCGTGAGTTCGAGCCCCGCGTCGGGCTCTGGGCTGACCGCTCAGAGCCTGGAGCCTGTTTCCGATTCTGTGTCTCCCTCTCTCGCTGCCCCTCCCCCGTTCATACTCTGTCTCTCTCTGTCCCAAAAATAAATAAGTAAACGTTGAAAAAAAAAATTTTAGATACGAAATAACTATAACGGGCCGTGGTCCCCTCCCAATTACCCGTGCCGTGGCTTTGAGGACATATCCCAAGTGAGATCGTTTCATAGCACGCCTCTGTGGTGTGTTTAGTCACTAAGTCCCGTGACTAGAGTTCAGCGGGGAACCCTTCACACAGAACTTCTCCAGCTGGGAAAGGTGCCGAGTTCCTGATGACTGCGTCACGGGCAGAGCCGGGAGGTATGTCCCGGGCTCCGAATCCAAGGCCAGCCTGGCCGGGGCCGCCTCAGGCTGCGCGTCCCGTCCACGACGCACGTGGACACTCAGGGCCTCAGGAAGGCCGTTCGTTTATTGCCTATTTTCCGTAGTAACCGCCCAGAAAAGTAGCCACTTTGTCTGTCATAATTACCAGAGTAAACAGAGCCCACGGCGATGAGATCCACGTAAGGATACGTCCGTCCTGTGTATTTTTTAAGAGCCTATGTTATAAACCCACGCCTTTAGGGTGCTGTCCTCAGAAGTGTGACCTGGGGAAAAAAACACACTCGGGCGGTCCCTCGGATACCCCAGCAGACTCCTTAAAGCACCGCGTGCCCCTCTCTGGCTCGGACACTAACAGCCCTGAGCCGTCTGCAGGCCAGTGGTCTCTTGCCAACAGAAAGCACGAGAAGGACGAGAAGGGCGCGGCACGTCTCTAAAGAGGGGAATCCGCGTCAGCAGCGAGCGTCTCTAGCTCCAGGCCTCCTCACCCTAACCCAACGTTTGTATCAGCAGAGGGACAGCAGAGGGACAGCAGAGGGACAGACAGCATCCGTAGCCGGAGCGAACGTGCCTCTGGCTTCTTGAGTTGGAGAGCAGTGGGCGTGGCTGGGTTTCGCGTGGAAATACAGAAGTCAAAGACGGGCTCTTTTTTTTACACTTATTTATTTATTTATTTTGAGAGAGCGAGCGAGCAAGCAGGGGAAGGGCAGAGAGAAGGGGAGAGAGAATCCCCAGAAGGTTCCACGCTGTCAGCACAGAGCCTGATGCGGGACGGCGCACATAAGCGAGCCACCTACAGTTTTATCTTGAGAAACGCGATTAGTGAAAACGAGCTTCCTTCAGTTTCCACCGACCACGTCTTCGGTGACGTTACCACCGTCACACGCGTCACCGCGTGGCGGCGGTATTTCTGACAAATCGACGTGACGGCCCGAGCCGGCCCGCTTCACTTCGCGCTCGGCTTTGCCAGCGTGGTCACGAAGGGGGTCACCTCCACCAGGAGCGGGGGGCTTCCCGGGTCTCCCCAAGGCCTCTCTCTTAATCTTCGGATATTCTGACTCTTCTCTTGGTTGGCACCAGATTGCTGGGCTCGGTCCAGCACACGGTGTGATCTGGCCACTGTCCCCTACAGGAGAGGTTGGCTAAGCACGATCTGCTCTTCCAGAAACATCCTTCGGACTCAGCATTACTGCTGCCATTTTCTTAGGCCCTAGGAGGGAGGTGCAGGGCGTGCCGTGCTCCAGTGAATACCAGCTCACATGGAACCTAGGGAGGTTGCTGGGGAGGGACGGACAGCAGGTGCAAACGCTCCCCTGCCCGTGCGGGATGGACCCGGGCATTTGGTACAGGACTCCTGCAAGACAGGCGAGGGAAGGCAACAGAGGCGCGGCCCTGCGGCTCTAAGGGGCCCTCGGCTCAGGAACCCATGAACAGAGGCATCTCTTGGGCGGATCTGAGGCACAAAGCACAAGAACAAAAATGGAAACGTTCCAGGCCCCAGACGGTGCTTCCCGTCGGGGGGCAAGCTCGCTGCGAGAACCGTGAACCTGCCGTCGGTGGCTCGAGTCTCACGAGAGTGCAGAACGAGTAAGGTTACCAACAGGAAATCCACAGACGTGGACGCATCTGGGGGGCCCAAGGGGATGGGACCAGCAAAGTCCACGTTCAGGCACCTCCTTGGACTCTCAGGGCCTCTCTGGCCACGGGCTGAGCTGCCTGTTCCCTTCCTTCCACAGCCTGTGCTTCTGTCCTTCTCCGTCTCTCTGTGACTCCCACGTGAAGGAGGCTGGCAGCCAATTCCAAATTCCCAGGGCTCCAAGGAGAGGGAATCTTGGTGGCCCCGTGGATCAGGCGGGTGTGGTGGGCCAAATGGTTCTCCAAGGACGTCGGCGTCCTAGTCCCTGGGATCTGCGACCGTCCCACCTTACCCGGCAAAAGAGAATTTGCAGATGAGATTCACTTAGAGACCGGTAGGTGGTCCAGAATTATCTGGGCGGGCAGGCCCAACGCAATCACAAAGTCCTCGTGAGAGGGAGGCGAGAAGGTCGGAGGGGAAGGAGGGACGTAACAAAGGAGGCAGAGGCCGGAGGGGTGTCGTCTGACGGCAGAGGGACGCGGAAGGCGGTGGCCTCGAGGAGGCAGGCGAGGAGGCGGCTTAGCCCTCCAGGAAGCGGCCCGTCTCTGAAGGAGACGGAAGGAAGCAGCAGAAGGAAGGAAGCAGAAGGAAGCAGATCTTGGACTTCTGACCTCAGAGCCAGAAGAGAGTAGACGTGTGCCATCGGAAGCCACTGCGTCTGTGGCGGCCTGTGGCGGCCACCCCAGGAGGCTCACGCAGAGCCCACGTGCAGCCTCGTCCGCCACAGCCTGGGCAGGAGCAAAGGTCATGTGGCCCCAGCGGCAGCGTCTTCTGGTGTCTGTGTGGAAAGGGATGCCCGCCACGGCCCACGGCGACCCGAGTCCACGCCTCCCCGCGTCCCCTTCTGATCTCGGATTCAGCTTCCGGGGGCTCTCATGCCAGGAAGGAGGTGTGTGGAACAAACAGCCCCGGGGCCAGTCAGTCACTGGGAGCCCTGATTCGGAACCAGCCTCTGCACGACCACCTGTGTGAGGTCCCCAGATCTGGCAGAAGAGGACCTCTTGTTCCACAGAGCACAGGTGGACCTGTCCCCTCCCAGGTCCCGGTCCAGCCTACCTCGAGGCCAGCTCCCGCCCTCCACCTCTTGGGTCACAGGGTCACTGGGAAATTTGTAAACCCGGCTGGATTCCAGGAGACGCCCACCCCGCCACACCCCACTGGGAGTAACGGAATGACTTTGAGATTCCCCAAGGGCAAACTACGTTTAGGAGAGTACGGCACCTCTAAGCAATCGTGGGACAGAGGCCAACGTCCAGTGGAAGTAAGGTTTCCATCACTGGCTGTTCCGTCGCCATCTCTGCCGCTGCTGTTTGGGTTGATGGCGGAGTGGCTTGAGCCACATTGTAACAAGAGGGCGTCCTCACCTCCTCTACTGCACTTGGAGACCCTACCCCTTTGTTTGTCCTAAACAAAACCCGAAACTCGGCAAGTAAAACCAAACTACACCAGCTCACCTTGTTGTACCAGCCAACGATGAGTTCCAAGTTGCCCACAAACTTCCGGAAGGTCTCATGCTGTGAGAACAGATCCTCGGCACTGCTTGGGATCTCTTTTTGCTGCTGGAAACCCAGGTACTTGACCTCTCTCAGAACTGCCACCAACTAGGGCCAATGGAGATCACAGAAAAGATCAGGGCGCGACCCCGACGGTACGGCCCTCAGCAGCGCAGGTGAAAGGCGCTCCCAGATCACTCCCCGTCCTGGGCGCCCAGTCTCCCGTTGGCATCCAGGACACCAGGCTCTCCCAGTCACTGCCATCAGGCGGTGCTTTGACGCTTTAGAGGTTTGCGTGCTGGAGACTCCCAGGGTGTGCGCCCTCTCGATCGCTCTCACCTCGGCGACCTCACCCAACAGCGTGGCTTTAAGAACCAGCCACGTGTGGGTGGCACCACACACAAGTTTGTGTCCCCAAGCCAGACCGCTCTCCCGACTCTCGGACTCCCGTATCCACCCGCCCACGCAGCGTCTCCATTCGCGCGTCCGGACGACATCTCAAGCCCAACGTGGCCTGAACAGGCTGTCTTCCCCTCAGCCTGCTCTGCTCGCCGCCTCCAGCTGATGGCAGTTCCGCCCCTCCAGTGGGCCAGCCCAGAGCGGCTGGGGCTCAGGCTGTCATCGTCAAAGACTCTATTTCCAACCCGTCCGAGCCCCACGGGCTCTGCAGCCAAAAGCCATTCGCCCCTCACACCTTCATCGCCGACACGCTGATCTGGGCCACCACCATCTCGTGGTCTCTCTCCCGGGTTATGGCAAAAGGCTCCTCCTAGCTGGGCTGCCTGTCCCCGCCCCCCGTCTATTCACACGTGGCACCTAGAGGGATCCCCGAAATATACAAACCACATCGGGGCACGTCTGTCCTCGGAAACCCGCCACGGCAGCCACGTCACTCGGAACGAAAACCCAAGTCCCTCTGCTGGTCCTGGAGGCTCTCAGTGCCCTGTCCCCCGCCCTCCTCCACCCCTCCCTTCACCTCCTCTTCCACTCCCCTCCCCAGCCCTCTGCTCACTCCACCCTGACCCCAAACCCCACTGGCCTCCCCGCTGCCCCTCGACCACACCCGTGCGGTCCTCGCCTTAGCTGTTTGCCCTCTTCAAAGGCTTCTCCTCGAATCCACTAACTCCCTGACCTCCCGCAAGTCTCTGCCGACATCCAAACTTCAACCTGCCCCCCAGTCCTCCAGGTCCTCGGAGGCACCCGTCCCTACCTCCTCAGTATCACGTACCTCGCTGCTTTTGTTACACCAAGTTATGTTTCCTCCTGCCCCTCCTCCCCCTCCTTCCCCAGCTCTCTCTTTCCTTCCCGCCTCTGTCCTCCAGTAAAAGGTATGCTCCAGGAGGACAGAGATTTTTGTCTGCTTCGTTCATTCATTTACTCCAAGCACCGACACAAAGTAGGTGCTCAGTAAACATGTGTGGAGTTAAAAAAAAAAAGACAAGACTCCATTTTAGTGGAAGAGAAGGTTTCAGATGAAACCTCACATCTGCCTTCACGGTATCACTGCCGGGATCTAAAGCGTGGCAGGTGCGTTGTGGCCGGAACCCGGGCCACCCCACTCCTCTGTCTTTGGCACTTGGCTCACAGCTACCCAGGTTTGAGCCCTGGGATGCACGCCCCACAGCCCACTCGTGAATCCTGTCCACCCTGCCTGACTTAACCAGAGGGCCCGTCTGCTCAGACCCCGCCAGGACCTTTCTCTCCGTGTTCCTGTCGATTCTCAGACTGACGTTGCCTCTTGAGACCACAGGAGAGGCAGCCAAGCTGCGAAGGACTATCGTCACCGAAGCTGCTGTTTGGTCTCGTGCCTCAGACACGTCGCGGACATGCTTGACCGCTCACGCAGTCAAGTTCCAGCTAAATACGCCACGGGTCTGTTCTTTGGGCTTCTCCCACCCGCCATCCGTAGGGGGGCCCTGGTCCCAGTGGAACCTTTGACACGGACGCCCTCTGGACACGGCAGCAGGACGGCACGCACCGCTTTGCTGAAGTTGACTCGGATGAGGTTGGTGACGGGGTCCCGCCGTATCAGGGGCTGCCCCAGGTTGAAGTGGCAATCCTGGTCCACGCCGGCCACCCACTGCCGGTAGGTCCTCTCGCGGTAGTTTCTTAGCAGCCCCATCATCTCGTCGTACTTCTGGTAGATCAGCTTGGCCTCCGTGCTGGACATGACCCTGGAATCGGTCAGATGGGGTGATGGGGTGATGGGGTGACGGGGTGGTGAGGTGCCCGCCTCCTTCAGGGTCTCTTTAGCGCCCTCAGCGCGGCTCCCAGATCTGGGGGTGCTGAAGCAGCTGGCTTTCCCTTTCCTCTGGGCCGGGAGACTGAACGGACAGACAGACAACCGCCCGTGACGGCAGCAACGGGTCCAGGATGTCAACCCCCGCCCCGGTAACAACTGGCCCCAAACGGCCAGGACTTGGTTGAGGACTGCCAGCTTCCCGTCCAACTCAGGATGGATTGGAGAAAGCCGGAGACGCCCCCCCCAACCAATCGCAGAGGCGACCCCTCCAGCCCCCAGGCCCGGGGCGGCCTCCAGTCAGGGCACAGCTGAAGCCTTCTCTCTGTTCTCCCCTCCCCCGCCTGTGTCCGCGTCTCCGCCAGACGCAGCGACAGTGGCCGCGTCCTGCCGTGACAGGCTCCGACCAGCCAGTGCTCGTCCTCACTTGGACCGTTTTGTCACTCTCCCTCAGGCTGACCGTCGGGGCGGGGGCAAGCCAGATCCTTAGGGCCGAGCTCGCCGAGCAGGCTCCCGCTGGAGGAGGGGGGACGGGAGTGGGGTCTTTTCCGGGATCGTGCTCTGGGGAGGAGAGGCCTGGCCAACGTGAAGGGTGGGACGGCCTCAGGAGTCAGGATGGACCCTCCCCTCCCCTGCTGCCACGGAGGCGCATTGCCCCCCAGGGCCGCGACTCACGGGTGGTCTATGTGCTTCAGGTCCCTCATGGGTGCCTCCAACCTCTCCTGCAGCTCCAGGCTCCACTTCAGCTGCCCGGCCACAGGGGGCATGTTCTTGTGGAGCGGGGGGATGTTCCCGTCTGCGGAGGCTGCGAGCTGGGCGTCGTACAAGGTCTTGGTGTTGTCCAGCTCGGCGTCAAACAGCTCCAGCATGACCGAGTACCTGGGCACCACCTCAGCAAGAATGAGAGGCCGCTCCAGGAGGCCCCCACACATGTACAGGAGCTGGGGAGCGAGGAGAGACACACCTTCGCCGGGGTCCCCGCCGGCGGCCCCCTCCCCGGCACCGCCCCCGCCGCGTGGCTGTTGGCCCAACGGGGCGAGGACACAGAATCTTGCTCCGCGGAGCAGCTGGTTAAATGCGACGCCTCCGTGATTTGCAGGTTGACGCACGCGGGGTCCCAAAACGCTTGGCTGGAAGCCAATGCTACAAACTAGGTCTGAGGTCTGGTAACATTCAAGGCCCGAGAGAAGTCAGGCTGGCCAGGGTGGGGGCGGGGGTGGGGACGGGGGCCCAGGCAGTGAGCAGAGATGCCGGGGGGGTGGGGAGCACTGATTGAGAACGTCGCCCCCAAGGATTTGAGGAAGTCACAGAGGGAGGTTTGGAATGTGGAGTAGGCTGTGACGCTGGGGGGTTCGAGCCCAGGTTACCGCATCCCCTGTAATGTGTCCTTTACCCTGAGAGGAAAGCTAGGCCTGCAGACCTGTCTGCTGGATGCCATTGGCCCAAATTAACCTGGGAGGCAACACAGCACATTTCTGAAAACAGTAACCATGCCTGAGAACCTCTGCAAGTAGCTGGCTCATCGCCCTCACGGCCTATGTATGCTCAACATTAGGAATTGTTTTAGAACATAAAACGCTTAGTAGAAGAGAGCAAGATATTTTATCTGGATGTTTGGGGTAGGGTGCTGGCTGGAATCAGAGAATTTTCCTAAAAGGTCACAGCTCACGGTCAAGGCACAGCAAAGCCTAGGGCCCTGGGCTGGGCCTGAAGGGGGAGCCCTTCCTAGAACCCAGACAGAGAAAGTTCTGGAAGCTCCTCAGCTGGCCTGAGGTCATCCCAGACCCGGACTGGGGCCAATGAGAGTGGCCCTTGAGGCAAACGGAGATCAAAGGTGCTCAGATCACAAGGTCCAAGGCTCTTGGGGTCTGGGGGCACTGGACCCAAGTCTCAGATTCGCCCCAGTTTTTGGTGCGAAAAATAGGACAATGTCCCCAAAATGGCCTTTCTGGGCAACAGTGAGACCCGGCTGCAGAAGAAGGAGAGCTCTTCAGGCCCCCGGAAAGCCAGACAGAGTAGCCGGATCGCTGGGAGAAAGTAAGGCTCCAAGCACAGCTCCCCGCGGGGTGGGGGGGCTGCCACCGGGGGTCACCGTTGTCGCAAGTTCTCACAAAATTGACAAGCGCCCCCTGGAAGACACAGGTTCCTCTGGTTGGTTCACGACCCTCCTGACGGTCTGTCTGTCCGGTCCCCCTCCCACCACCCCCCCTCCGCGTTCACATGGTTTTGGCTTCTGGGCAGGAAGCTAATCTTATTTTCTGCCAGGAGGTCATGCGGGAAATTGCTCTAGAACTTTCCTGGCTGCGTGTGAGAGATGGCACCGGGGCAGCTTGGGGACTTGCAGGGAATCCACGGGCTGGGACGGAGGGAGCCCCGGGGGCCCGTCCTCATTAGGGCTCAGGGTTGTCAAGCTGGAGAGGAAATGCTCCCAGGTGCGGAGGGAAAGGCAGGTAGATGTGGAAACAGTTTACAGGCACTGCTTTCTCCCTTTTCATTTTTTTAATGTTTATTTTTGAGAGAGAGAGAGAGAGAGAGCAGGGGAGGGGCAGAGAGAGAGGGAGACACAACCCGAAGGAGGCTGCAGGCTCTGAGCCGTCAGCACAGAGCCCGTGGGGAGGTCTGAACCCACGAAGCGAGAGATCAGGACCTGAGCCTAGATGTTAAAGTCAGACCTTTAACCAACCGAGCCACCCAGGCACCCCGCTCTTCTTAATCTAGCACGAGCACAAAGTTAAAATTTCGGAGAGAAGCTTTCCTTTTTGCATGCAGAACTCAGATTAAGGCTGTGACAGGAGAGGGGACGAGAAAGGCCCGGGCAGAAGAGTGCCCTGTTCATGACCTCTGTGCTCTGGCTCGTGGCCCCCTCCCTCCGCCACCCCCCTCGAGTGCCTGGGGGGAGGGGGCTTCCTCCCGGACACCCTGCCCCTCGCAGCGCGGCGCTGACCGCAGGCTCCCGATCACGAAGGGGACGGCCTTGTTGGTTTGGCCGCAACAGCCCAGCTCCCTGAGGCCCCTGGACTGAACAGCACAAAGCCCCAGCCCCTGAGCCCCAAGAGCACAGGTACGCGTCTCTCAGCTCTGCCCTTGCAGGAGGGGAGACACAGGGCCCGCCCGGCTCCCGCGCTGCCCTCCAGCTTGGGAGACCCCATCACGGGGTGCGGCGGGAGACTCCTGTTTCCAGGTTACAGGACTGGCTGGAAACCTGTGTTTGGGACCCTTGGAGCTTTGGGACCCCAGTACCACTCCGCTCCCTCGGCCGGAGCCAGTTCCCTGGGCGAGGAGAGCCCAAAAGCACCTGCTGTCGTGCCCGGCTGGCTGGGTTCCGAGTGCACCCAAATCAAGCGCCTGCCTTTAGGGAGGGGATATTCGAGCCCGGAGGACAATGAACGCACAGAGACCCACACACAATAGAAGACACCAGGGAGGGCCGGCGGGTCTGCAGGGAAGTCCTGGAGGCCTCGCGCTGGCCTGAGGCAGCTACCTAGGGGGAAGAATGTTCCAGAGACGGGAACAGCACTTCCACTGCTGTGTTAATTTGCATTCACGGATATTCTGCTTGGAGCACCGACTGAATCTGAGACTAACTTGCTCATCCCATTTGCAGATCCGATTCCCTTGCGTTTGCAAAAACAAGGTCTAGAAGGCGAAGGCAAAGGCACATCCTGGCCATTTCCGCTGGGGAGATCCAGGATCCAGGAAGATGGTCAGCACCCTGAGCTACCTGGGCCACCCCGACTGTCCTACTGTCTGGCCACGCTCGGGCTGGTTTGGGGTCCCGGCTGTGCCGCTGGCTGGCTAACAGCGTGACCCTGCGCAGGCTTCTGGACTTTTCCGAGCTGGCACAAGGAGATGGCTAACGTGGGTGACAAGTTCAGCCGAGCGTGTGGGACCGAAGATCCTAGAATGACTACTGGGCGTCCCCTGTGGGCACTGAACTTCCTGCAGCAGCCTAGAGCCTGCACAGCAGGGGAAGCAGCAGGTCTGACCCGCAGAGTGTCCGCGTCGAGAAACACGAGGAAAACCAGGCAGAAATAAAAAACCTCCCCAAGTACATACATATATTTACTCATCTGAATGCTTGATGCCCGTTCTCCAGAGGGGCCGTGGCATCAGCAGAGGCCCCCCTCCATCGTTTTGTTGGGACCAGGCAGGCCCCGGAAATGCACGAAGAGGGGTGAGCGAGGGCGGGAAGGAGTGGTGGGGGCTGGGGCCAACTGGACGCCACGTTCTGTCCACAGGGAGGAACAGTTGTTCCCTTCAGCCACTTGTTACTACGAGGGGCTGGGTAGAGGCCAGCGTGGCCAGATCGCCTTTTCCAAGAGAAGGTGAAAGTCTGGACTTTCACGTGAACCTTCTCAACTTTTACATGTTGGCGGCTTCGTTCAAAAAATTTTTAACCTGCCGGGCGAGAGTAGGCAAGTCTAGAGAGACAGCGTGAGTGGGGGAGAGAGGGGCAGAGGGAGTGAGAGAGAGGCAGAGAAAGAGGCAGAGACAGAGAGAGAGAGAGAGAGAGAGAGAGAGAGAGAGAGAGAGAGAAGAGGGGGGCAGAGAGAATCCCAAGCAGGCTCCGGGCTCAGCACAGACCCCGATCCCACGACCCTGCCATCAAGACCTAAGCCGAAATCAAGCGTCGGACGCTCAACCGACTGAGCCGCTCAGGCGCCCCCGTGCTTCCCTTTTGAACGGATATTGTCCAGGAGGGTTAGCGCCTTTCTGCCGTCTATTTTTTGACATTCTTTTTCCATAGCATCATGCCTTTTTTCTAAGCGCAAAAGTGCTAAAAACAGGTAACGCTCGCCACCTGGGAATCGTAGAAAAGTACACAGAAGGCAGACACGTACCCACAGGGCAGCGGCGGGTCCCTGTTAATGATGCCGGGGCCACTCGTGGAGCCTCGGATGTCGAAGAGGGCGTGAATTCAGCTCAGCGGGTCAAAAAGTGCACGTTTTATTTTTACAGCAACTCTAACGTTTGGTCCTTTTGAGCAGGGGGAGGGTCGAATCGAGTGAGAACAAAGGGACACCTTCACTTAGTGACTATCGGTAAACGGATGAACTGTCACCTGCTCCTTACACTCCCTTTCCTTCCTTACTCTTTGGCGACAAAACCCGACAGGAGTTACCCAAGGAGCTCTGAGACACTGAGCGAGGCCCCCGGCTGGGCCAGCCCCTCCTCTCCAGATGGTCACCCCAAGGTGGCTCCCGGTGTCACCCCCCCTGGGTGTTGTTGGAACACACTGCGGCCAGCAGGCCCCTGCCCACGCCTACCTTTGCGCATGACTCAATGGAGCTGCAGTCATCAAAGCCCTGGCAGAAGATGGTGGCCAGCCGCCTATCCAGATCTTGAATTTTGGTCTCAAAACCGGCATAATCGTCGTCAAAACTCTGCAATTGAATCAGAACACCAACCTGGTAAGTCGGCATGCAAAGCAGGGGAATACTCGCTCTGACCCCGACCCTGAGCCCGCTGGCAGGATTCGGGGCTCCATCTGAGTGCACAAATTGTCGTGAGCACGTCTTCAGAATGTGACCGTCTAACACACCCCCTCCCTGTGCCTCCCACACCCGGGGCGTCGGCCGAGGCCCCCGACTTACCGAATCTCCGGGGTCCAAGGGGTCATATTTGCACTCGGCAAAGACCTTCACCAGCTCAAAGACCTCATCGTAAATCTGGGTGACCATGCTTCCAAGGATGTTCCCTCTCACTCCCCCCAGCTCGATTTTCTCCAACTTCAGGAACTCGATGGCTGTTTTATAAAGATCCTGGGGGAAGAGGGGAAAAAAACCCCACCCAGTAATCTCCGTAACTAAACGCAACAGATGAGCCACTTATCCAGCAGGAAGGTGCCAGGGAGCAAGAACCCTGGGGGCCTCAGGGCAGTGGGGGGCCCTCTGTTCATTTCTGTTCTGTAAAGTGCTTTCTGGAACACTCTGAGAGTCACCTCCAAGCCGTGAGGAGGTTGGGCTCTTCTGGTCCGGACCCCACACCGCCCGAAAGGCACCGCTACATAGATCACGCTTTACTGGGCCCCCATTTCCTCAGCTGTGGGGGGAGGCGGTTGGAAAGGCACCAGGTAGTTTCTGATGTCCTGACTCAGCTTCAAATCGTCTGCTTCCTGGAAGCCCGTCCCCAACTTCGAGCCCGTCCCTGACGGGGGTCTGAAAGGATGCCCTCACGCCCAGGATGCCGGGACAGAGGCCTGCGTGTAAATCCTACCGCCTCTGAGGTGGGGCCCTGTCTCCTCCCGGAGGCTTTTGCAACTATTCTGGCCTCTGGCGGGGGTCTCCCTTTCCGGAACCCCCACTCGCTCTTGACCTTGGCATGTAATCACACCCGGTCCGTTCACGGGACCTCGCTGCTTCCGTGTGAGGCTGCTATTTCCCAGCCCAGATCCTCAAGGCTCCTTGAGGATCTCACGCAGCCTCGGGAGCCCAACCTAGGGCCTGGCCCTGGTCACTCCCCCGGGCCGGTGCTGAGGCCGGGGCCGTCTCCCATCGACTGGACAGAATAGGTACTGTTATGAGCCCATTTTACAAATAAGGAAACTGAGGGGCGCCTGGGTGGCTCAGTCGGTTGAGCGGCCGACTTCGGCTCAGGTCACGATCTCCCGGTCTGTGAGTTCGAGCCCCGCGTCGGGCTCTGTGCGGACAGCTCGGAGCCTGGAGCCTGTTTTGGATTCTGTGTCTCCCTCTCTCTCTGCCCCTCCCCTGCTCTCTCTCTCTCTCAAAACTAAAAAAACATTAAAAAAAAAAAAAACTTTAAAAACGTTCATTTGCTCGGTCACTCCACGTATCCGACAGTGCTCGTGTGGGGTCCTGCGTCCGTCCACACCTGCCCTAGCCTAGCCCCGCTAGCCCTCTCCCGCGGCCTCCCGGCTCCCTGGCTGTGCCTGCTTAATTTGTCATCAGCCTGCTCCTGGACAGAAGGTGTGGGGTGTGGAGAAGCAGCCACAACGGGCCACTTTTGTTCTTGGCCGACAGCTCCGGGCGCGGAGGAGGCCGGCCCGTGACTCGGTTTCCCCACGACGCGGATGCTCGGGCCGGACTCTCATCCTCCTTGCTGGGGGCTGTGTGATGGTGGCGGGGTAAGGACGGGAGGCGCAGCTCTGCCAAGGTTAAGCGCAGCCTGAACCAAGAGTCACCTGTACCTCAATGGTCTGGATGCGACGGAAGAAGGCATTCATTCTGGAAAACGCCAGGGACGAAGGGAACTCCCAAGGCACCGGCTCCTTGTCCTTCAAGGGGGGAGAGAGAAGGGAGGCCGTGCTTGGCCCAGACACTCCCACGTGTGCAGGTGGAGCTCGCGCGGAGTCGCCCCCCGACCCGGCTCTGACGTCAGGCCGTACCTTAAAGAAAAGCCTCATGTTCGCACAGCAGAAGTCGTAGGTGTGGTAGAGATCCTTCAGGACGCCCACGGACAGAGAGATGCCGCTCAGAACCTCCTCTGTTTCGCCCTGCAGGCCCTTCAGCACCAGGTCCGGGCTCAGGAAATTGCGCGTCTGGGCCGAAGAGAAGGCGTTCCCAGGTCGTGACCGAGCTCTCCGGGGGGGGACATCCGGGCGCACTGCCCACAGGCCGCTCAGCGGGCTACGAACAGCCCGGCACGGGGTCCTCGGCCTACCCCTTGGGACACGTCAACCGTCCCTTACGTCCCTGCCCCAACCGGTCGGCCGGCTCCCTGCCTCGCCCGGCCCTGCAGCCCCGCAGTGTATGGGCTGCTGCACAGCTCCTCGTCCCCCGGGACCAGGGGCCTCCAGGGACCCAGAAATACAGCCCTGCCCCCCGCTGCAGGGTCCAGGCCCGCAAACACCACCCGCAGGTGGCCCAGACTCAAAGGCTGGTGGCTGGCTGAGGCAGGCTGGTGACAAGCAGGGAAGGAAGGGAATCCGGAAGGATCTCGGGGCAGGTGCATAAAACCCCTCAATCCCGGCCGAGTCTTGGGGTGCTGGGACTCGGTCCCCTTGCTGTCCTCCCTCCAGGTGTGGGGGGCAGCTTGGGCTGGCACTGGCCAGGTCTTGGGAGGACTCTTGGGTGGCCACCAAGAGGGCCCAAGCTCAGCCCGGGGCCCGTAGACCCCGGTGCCAGCCACTTTGCGTGCGTGTAACCGCCCGGGAACGCCAGCATCGGGGACACAGAGAGACAGGGAGGGGCAAGGCTACCATCTCGATGATCAGGTTGCAGAACTCCTGCAGGATGATGATGATCCGGGAGGGCTTGTCGTCGTGCTCGGAGGTGGCCCAGATGAAGCCGGTCGTGAACAGCACCTTGGCGATGACGGTGGGGAGCTGGCGGGGGGGGGGGAGATGGGCGGGTGTGCCTCCAGGACGGGACCCCAGAGCGGAAGGAAGAGGCGCTCCCCAGGACCGCGCAGCCCTTCCCGGCCAAGAAGCCCCGTGGCGTGGGGGGCCCCCTCCCCCTAAGACACGAGACCAGCCCCTCAGAGTGGCCTCTGTCCGGCTGACACACCACCGTGAAGTCGGTCTGCTCCATCTCTTCCAGAAGGATCCGCAGAGGCTTCAGATACAGAACAACGTCATTGGCCTCCTTCAGCCCTGCACGGGACGAGAGCAAGGGCTCTCTGTTCATCGACACCTGCTCCTCGAGACCCACCACCCTTCCCCAAAGGAAGCTGCTGGAGGGGAGGCGCCCCAGCCCCTCGCCGAAGGCAGCGACTGCTCCCTGGGCTCACCTTCGGTGACGTTCATGTACACGCTTTGCAGGGCCGGCCAGTAGCAGCTTCTGGCTTTTTCCAGGATCTCGACTATTTTGTTCACTTTGGGCCTGTTCAGCTGAGAGAGAACACAAGGAGCCTTTCGAGAGAGGCTCAGAGGACCCTGACTCAAAGGACCCTGACTCAAAGACCCTAGACCCTGCGGCCGCTGGAGCAGAGGGCTGCACGTGGGGCCTCGGGGATCCTGGGGGTCCGCACGGAAGGGCCGCGTTGGTGACGAGTCTGCCTGGCTAGACGGTGGCTGCCGAGCAGCTCAGGCCCGGTCACCTGCTCGTGGATGCACTTGAGGTTCATCAGCCGGGCATCCCAGAACTCAAACTCGAC